ACCCCATTAAAGATTTATTGTAAGAAATTTTTTAAATGAGAATTTCCCAGATATGTGGATCGGCAGTGGAGGTCCTCCAACGAGATCACCCGATTTTAATCCTCTAGATTATGCTTTTTGGGGATACCTAAAGTCTAAAGTGTATTCCACAGAAATAAATAACATGAAGAATTTTTACAAAGGATAGAAAATACTTGCGATGAATTAATAAATAATGGAGACATCATTAGAAAGGCAATACGAAGCATTACAAATCGAGCACTAAAATGCATTGGACAAAACGGGAGTCATTTCGAGCAACTTTTTTTGATTGTTCACTTAGTTCAAATATCCAAAAAAACTTTATATAATATTATTCTTTGTTCGTGTAAATTATTATTAAAAATGTTATAAAAATAATTAGAAAATTTTATATTTTGTTCTAAAACCGGACCTGCACTCATATTTTTAATGAGTTTAATGAGATACACAAAATCAACCACGCATACTTTACAAGTTTCAATAGATCGCAGTAAATTATTTTCTTAATTTGACAACGAAAAATAAATTTTTGAAATAATATTAACAGGTTATAATAAAAAATGTAAATTTAAGATTAAAATGTCACCAGGGGCCGTATTCTTGTAATTAAGCGAGTAGGAGAGAGTAGGCGAGTACTTTCTCACTATTTGGTCTGAATCGTATGAATGATGAGACCAGCGTTGCCAGACTACGAAAATGTTCCTATTTGTACGATATACGTTAGAGTTAAAAATTGCCTATAGTTTTTCGGAATTTTTGTTTTCCAACTTACGATCTAGACTGAATTTCTATTCATGCACACGTTTAATACATGTTTTAGTAATATATTATTACATACGTATAATTAAAAATATTTTTAATTGTCACAAATGTGTGACGGTAGTTTTTTTTTACAAAATCTCACTAATTCTACTGTGACGTCAGGGAAGCATATTTTCAAAAGGTACTTCTCAATATGGTGTTTTGTAGTAGGAACCACATAAAATTATTTGGACTAATTCAAAACCCTGTACCTACTTAATAATTGATTTTTGGGAAAGGTAATACTACTAAAATATGTGTACCTCTAAGTTTCAAAATATACATGGCGGCTTATTTGTTGAAATATATTTTATTTTAATAAAAGTACAAAAACATCTAAAATTTCCCAAGTCAAATGTATTTTCTCAGTACCTATATGATAAATTTAACACCGTTTTAAAAGGTATAATTTTAATTCCGATATTGTGACTAGTTTTCGAGATACAGGGCATTAAAGTGGAGAATTGCTGAATTTAGTAATTTTTTCTTTCAACTGAAAAGCTAGATTGTATGTATTTATGTGGAATATATAAGTTTAATATAAGTTTTGGTGAGATTTCCATTCCGTTTAAAAAATTATTCACGAATAAATCACAATATATGTTTGCAAACTCTCAATATCTCTTCAGTTGCGCCACATAGAAATTATTTCATTCACAATTTGTTTTTGAAATTATTAAAAAGAGGCCTTACATTTCTTTAGTGACTTTTGAGTAAGTTAATATAACGTTACATAGCCCAATCGGATTAGGTGAAGAACAGGCTTGAGATTCTGAAAAATTCGAAGCAGCAATTTTCCTTCGGAATTCGTTGGAGGGGGTCTGTGGTAGTCTAAATTCAAAAAGTTGGGATTCCAAAGTTGTCGTTACCTCCGCCAGCTTGATTTAAAGGGTTATTTTTTGTATCTTGAATAACTCATTTATTTTCAATTTTACACGGAAAATAGTTCTTACAAAAGTTATTTAAAATTAAATTTCCTACAATTCTGCTTTTTTTTGTACGATCGATTTTTTTCGATTTATACCCGAAAAGAGGGGGTGAATTTTTGGTTATAGAATAACTCGTTTATTTTCAATTTTACGAGAAAAATTGTTATAAACAAAGTTGTTTAAAATTAAATTTCCTACAATTCTGCTTTTTTTTTGTACAATCGATTTTTTTCGATTTATACCCGAAAAGAGGGGGTGAATTTTTGGTTATAGAATAACTCGTTTATTTTCAATTTTACGAGAAAAATTGTTATAAACAAAGTTGTTTAAAATTAAATTTCCTACAATTCTATTTTTTTCGTACGCTCGATTTTTTTGTATTTATCCCTGAGAAGAGTGGGGGTACACTCTTATCATTGTATTATCACGTTTCTTTTTAATTCCAGGTATCAGCAAAAAAAAAAACAGAAAAAATAATGGTACAACATCAATAATAAACGTGACAATACAATACTTAGGTTCACCCCCACTCTTCTCAGGGATAAATACAAAAAAATCGATCGTACAAAAAAAAACAGAATTGTAGGAAATTTAATTTTAAACAACTTTGTTTATAACAATTTTTCTCGTAAAATTGAAAATAAACGAGTTATTCTATAACCAAAAATTCACCCCCTCTTTTCGGGTATAAATCGAAAAAAATCGATCGTACAAAAAAAGCAGAATTGTAGGAAATTTAATTTTAAACAACTTTGTTTATAACAATTTTTCTCGTAAAATTGAAAATAAACGAGTTATTCTATAACCAAAAATTCACCCCCTCTTTTCGGGTATAAATCGAAAAAAATCGATTGTACAAAAAAAAAGCAGAATTGTAGGAAATTTAATTTTAAACAACTTTGTTTATAACAATTTTTCTCGTAAAATTGAAAATAAACGAGTTATTCTATAACCAAAAATTCACCCCCTCTTTTCGGGTATAAATCGAAAAAAATCGATTGTACAAAAAAAAAGCAGAATTGTAGGAAATTTAATTTTAAACAACTTTGTTTATAACAATTTTTCTCGTAAAATTGAAAATAAACGAGTTATTCTATAACCAAAAATTCACCCCCTCTTTTCGGGTATAAATCGAAAAAAATCGATCGTACAAAAAAAAGCAGAATTGTAGGAAATTTAATTTTAAACAACATTGTTTATAACAATTTTTCTCGTAAAATTGAAAATAAACGAGTTATTCTATAACCAAAAATTCACCCCCTCTTTTCGGGTATAAATCGAAAAAAATCGATTGTACAAAAAAAAGCAGAATTGTAGGAAATTTAATTTTAATCAACTTTGTTTATAACAATTTTTCTCGTAAAATTGAAAATAAACGAGTTATTCTATAACCAAAAATTCACCCCCTCTTTTCGGGTATAAATCGAAAAAAATCGATCGTACAAAAAAAAAGCAGAATTGTAGGAAATTTAATTTTAAATAACTTTTGTAAAAACTATTTTCCGTGTAAAATTGAAAATAAATGAGTTATTCAAGATACAAAAAATAACCTTTAAATCAAGATGGCGGAGGTAACGACAACTTTGGAATCCCAACTTTTTGAATTTAGACTACCAGAGACCCCCTTCAACGAATTCCGAAGGAAAATTGCTGCTTCGAATTTTTCAGAATCTAAAATACTAATCCGATTGGGCTAACATTAGATTTTAAAATATACAGAGTAATCTAACTCTTTTATGATTACCTACAAAATATATCAGTATATACATCATTTTCCGAAATTTGTGACAAGTTTTTATACACGGAACAATAAAGTTGCCAAAATATAGTGTGATTTGTTCGTGAATCACCCTGTAACGTCTCTTTTTATGGACATCTTCATGGAAGATCAAAATGAGAAAGAATTAAAAGAAGAAAAAATTATTTTTGAAACAAAAGGTTAAGTGTTATTTTTTATATGTTTATTTAATAAAATTATTATCAAATTACCCCAATCCTAACCCCATAAACTCTTAAATTAACCAGCCTTCTATAACGTCACACTAGTAAGGTCAGTTTATACGATAAAAACATGAAAAAAACGATAATTTCTATACAATGGTACAATTTGATTTTGGTCATCTGGCAATACTGCTGATGGAACACTCGTGTAGGAGCACTCTCCTGAGTTTGAGAATAGGTACCGGTAGAATCGGATGCTAGAGTTGTTTAAGGAAATTAATGGTTTAGTGTAAAGTAGCAGCACTTGTGATGTTTAAAAAGTCGATGGGAGTTTCATTTTTAAACATTAATGATTCAAAAATGTTGGTTAATAAAAAGTATTGATATGCAAGGTGGGATTTAAAAGAAATTGCATGCGATTTGTATTAATCTTTTCAAAATTATATTAAAAAGTTATAACAAGTTGTGACAAGTTATGGCAAGTTAAGACAAGTTATAACACGTTATATGGATAATTCAGCAATATGATTCATTGCGTTACTTTTGCGGGATAAAAACCTGTTACGTTTAAGATGTGACACTTTATTTGAAAGCTAATTTTATTATTAATTTAATGCATAATACAACAAAACATAATTGAATGAAACATGAACCTAAATAATTGAAAAATCGTGCAGATCTCTAACGTTAAGAAATACAAACCTAAAACGCAATCAACTAAAATAACAAATTTATGCTATGCATTAATTTACTATTGAAATTATCTTTCAAATAAAGTTTAACATTTTACAATGTAATTTTATTCCTCTAGAGGGCGCTAAAATCAAACGTAACCCAATGAATAGAGTTCTTCATTAAATTATCTTTCAGATGATATATTACTTATCATACTAGCATATATAGTATTCATAAAATCAGGAAGTTGCTGCCGGGCTCCAGGGAATTTAATTCATGAGTATGAATTTCGTCCCTTGTCAATAAAAGTTAACGTGTTTTTTGTTTTTCTTAAAAGGTGGTTTTAAAATGAAAATAGAAATCGCCGTATATCAGTAACTAGTATAGCAACACAACAATTGTAAATAAGTGAGTTTGTTATTTAAAATGGTTGCTACAAACTACAAATGTGACAGTCCTATTCAAGTTTCCACTTTTACAGTTTGTTAGGTCAGTTCTTTTATCCGTACACATATTATTAGGTACTGAACCAACCACCATAAAACTACAGTCCAGATTTACAGTAACTTAACTTAAATAATGATGAGCTTGAAAATAATTGCCTGTTTAAAAATGTTGATCACCCTGTACTTATATTATGTCTCTTTTCAGACTGACTACAGCCGGCATTTGGATGAAGCGACTAGAGAAACTGAACAAATATCATTTGAGGTAATTCAGCATTATCTAGTGGAAGGCAAAATTGAAAACGTTCTAAGGCTTATGCAACACTGGGAAGCTTATCGACAAATTTCAGGTGAGATTTATTATTGTCAATTATTGGTTTGTAAGATATTAGATATAAAAAAAAACTATTTTTTACAGATTGCTTCCGGGTTTATATGAAATATTAATTATCTGCTTAAAATCCATTTAAAAAAGTCCAATATAATTCATGTTTGTTTGAAACTAGGGCCGTGTTAAGCATTTGCATTTTATTAGTAGGTATTGGTAGATGAATAGCTGTTGAAATTTTGTAAAATTATGATTTGAATATTATAATACATGTTTAATAATTATTTAAAGTCCATAAATACATGCGATTGTCCGGTTCCGCCGGTAACAATTTAAAGTTACTTATTCCAAAGAATACCTACTCAAGAAGCGAAACTGAATTAGTTTTCATATGTACCAAAGCAACGAAAACTTAATACACTGGAAATGTATGAAAATTAATCAATTTTTGTCGTTTGGTTCATAAGAATTAAACACATAAAGTAACAATAATAGACAAAAAATTCTTACTATGTTCATTATATCAAATAGATTATTCTAATAAGAAATAAGTACTGTAGGTACAATATGATAGTCACTACACAATAGCGAAAGCAGATGACCTGGTCATTCTGCAATTAGGGATTTTTGAGAACAATTATGGAACAGTGATGCAAGGACCATTTACTGTTTATCAATCCCAAGAGACAGAAATGGTCCTTTTCACAAGGAAAAGGATGAAATTTAATTTAGAACCTACAGAGCTCCTAAACACAACAAAATTTTGCAAGAAATGAAGTACCTAGGTAGCACCTTTGACAACAAGTTAACATAGAACTCATACTTAGAAAACAGAGTTAAGAAAAATGCCGCCAAACCGTGGGGCGCACCTGGGGTTTCTTCCCCAGAGTCGTCACATGGACTTACATGGTCATCAAAAGACCTATGCTAACATACGGTGCAGTTTTCTGAGTACCGAAAATCCAAAATAGAACAAATTCAAATAACAGCATGTCACAACATAACAGGAGCCATGAAAACCACATTAACCAGCGCCATGGAAGTCATTCTTAGTCTCACTTCCGAGATATATCTTCCATTAGCCTTATAAAGATATAACAATAAATTGAAGAGCCGGAAGTAGCAGGTTCGATTCATATCTACACCGACGGTTCTAAAACCAAACAATGCTCAGAATGTGGAATATAATCCAATTCCTTAACCTTTAACATAAAATGCAGGGGGTGCGAACAAAAGGATAAGATCATTGAGCATATCCTCTACGATTGCCCGTCGCTCTCATTTATTAGAATATTTTTTTTCGGCGAGTATTGGCTAACATCGGCCGATATAAGAGAAGCACCTCTTGGCGATGTTGTCAACTAGCTCATTAAATGACTAAGTAATTAAACGTAGGCGTAAATTATCATTATAGGTACTTAATGCTAATTTAGAATTAAAAAACTTACAGACAGATGCAAAAACGTTCAATAAAATTTACGAACATGTAATACAAATTTTAAATCTAATTTCTAATTACTACCTAGTTAAATACAACTACTTAACTATACTGCAATCTTCACAAGACTCTAATAATAATATACCAAACGTTGCTCTACATACATTGACAGCTATATTTGACGTTAAACCACCTCTAAAACACTCAGAAAACTTGGCAGTTTTTTGTCCACGAATCGCCCATTTAGTTTCGCTTCTTGGGTAGGTATTCTTTGCTTATTCTATGAAACGACACTGGCAGGTAAACATTACTACTACGTTTACCCCCTCTCTACCTACCAAAATCCTTTCCAACTTGTGCTATAGTACATAGTATGCTATTTACATTCACATACAGGTAAATATGTACACATTATTAGTATTATCATTTACCATGAAAAAATATATTACTTTAATATCTTGTTTTATTAAATAATACCTAGGATGCCGGTGGCAGAGGAGGCATATGATTTTATTGCTGTTAGGAATGATAGAGAATCGAGTTTTGATGCTTATAAATAGGGTAAGCTAGGTGGCGAAGTTAGTAGTTGGCTCAGTGGTTAGTGTGACGACTTTGATATCGAAGGGTCTTAAGGTTCAAATACCGCCGCACAGTGGCGCGAAGCGCCAGTGTGCCACCCAAATTAATCTACACCTTATGGGGTTGGAGTATTTGAGGTGAATTTTTTTTTTTGAATGTTCATCTTGAAACTGCCTATCGATCCCTTATTTTCCATTTTCGTTTTACGTCTTCATTTTTCCGGAATTCTGATCCAAAAATTGGGTTTTATGCAAAAACGTAGATTTCCCGCACGAAAGGGATCCTACGGTACGCGGGATTGAAATTTTACCAAACCTTTTTATCGGAAAATGTTCGTCTTCAAAGACCCTAAAATTTTCCATTACCCTTGAAATGGTCATAATCATCCAAAAATTTTCCTGTTATTTGAAAATGTTTGTCTCTGCAGTCAATTTTATAGACAACGTTTGGTTGATTTATTTTACTAATTTTGGGCTTAACTTTGTAAAAACTCATCTTTTTGTTTCCCTACTTTATCGTGTTAAACCAAATTATTATTTCGAATACACCTTTACACGATGTGAAATAGAAATATTGCGTTTTATTATTTTAAAAATTTTTAAAACTATTCCTCCCCTTAATTTTTATAAATTGACTGCACCTGAAGATGGAAAAATTGTGTTTTCCGAAACATATGTAGTGTGCTAAACAATAGAAAATAAAAACATTTGACCCATTTAACCAAGAAACATTTTTTCCTATATAAAAAAATACGTTGGCACTCGGGGACTGTCGCGGTAAAGCATTTTTTATCAACTTATGCAATTATAATTATTTATTTATTTTATTTATGCAGTATTTTTTTTTCTTTGATATTAATTCAAGTTTTTTCTTTGATATTAATTCAAGTTACACTTTTTGAGCGTGGTGACCGATAAAAAAACAATTTTTTTCCTTTTATTAAATAAATGAGAAGTTAATATTGTTTAACATATTTTTATTATCTTACAATACATGTAGGTTATTGGAATTTTTATCATTGAAACTATAGGTTTATGGTAACTGAAATTAGAAACGTAAGTTTAAGACTTGATATTCTCTAAATATCTGGAAAATACCGCGTCAATGGTGGTCCCATATTTTGTTGTGGATTCTTGTTTATTTTCAAATTCAATTTTTACGAAATTGTGTCTAAAAGAGATAGAATCAGTTATGAGCAGTTAGCAGCTAGTCTACACGCATACGTCTAGTCGCACGCATACAAACACCATGCCGAAGTCTGCCGAACTGAAACGACGTTAAATGATGCACGGCTTTCAACGCCGCACCGCTGTGCCGGTCGGAGTGGGGGGTGTAAGGTTTATTTTCGTTACGGAATTTCTTTTTTGATTTTTCTATTTTTCGATTTTTCGATTTTTTGGTTTTTCGATTTTTCGATTTTTCGATTTTTTGGTTTTTCGATTTTTCGGTTTTTCGATTTTTCGAGGATGTTAGGTTTTCGTTACGGAATTTCTTGATTCGGTCGCCGCGCTCAAATCCCGCGATAAAATCTATGCAATAGCTTAATAATGAAATAGTTAACACTGATAAAATAAAAATTAATATTTTATAAATCTCGCAAAAAAAATTAATATCTAATATTTACACCAGCCGGGAACATTTGTGATACCAATTTATTAGAAGCCAGAGAAAGCTCTTCTAGTTCTTGTATTGCATAAACGTTCCAGTCCGCAGACGTATATTTAACTCCGCTTCATACTAATACGAATAGGGTTGGATAAAACCTTCCACGGCTTTTAACGCCGCACCGCTGTGCCGGTCGGAGTGGAGGGTGTTAATTTATTTTCGTTACGGAATTTCTTGATTCGGTCGCCGCGCTCAAAGCCCGCGATAAAAGCTATGCAATAGCTTAAAAAAAATAAGAGTTTAGTACTTAGTGTTTCCTTCTCTAGCTCGAACAATAGCCTGCATCCTCCTAGGCATGCTGCGAAGAAGATCTTGAATTGTTTCTTGCGGAATTCGATTCCATTCTTCCTGTGCTGCAATTCTTAATTCTGCAATTGAGTTAGGAGCTGGATTTCGAGCACGCATGTTTCGCTTTAGGGTGGCCCATAGATGTTCTATGGGATTAGCGTCAGGACTCATTGGTGGCCAGTCTAGTGCCTCAAGGTACTGGATCACTGCTCTTGCGGCATAGGCGCGGGCATTTTAATGCATTAGCACAAAGTCATCGTACCCAATAAAACCGGCATAAGGTAAAGGTAAAGATGTTCTTTAAGGATATTGTGTATGTACCAGTCAGCATCCATTCTTAAATTTACCTTAACAAGCTCCGTGCGACTCTCCCAAGCATAATGGAGCCGCCACCAAAGCTAATGTATTGTAGGAGATTACATTCTGCGAACCGTTCCTCAGACCTTCTTTATACTCGACTACGTGCATCTGGCTTCCACATGGTGGCCAGTCTAGTGCCTCAATTCCGACACCCTCAAGGTACTGGATCACTGCTCTTGCGGCATAGGCGCGGGCATTTTCATGCATTAGCACAAAGTCATCGTACCCAATAAAACCGGCATAAGGTAAAGGTAAAGATGTTCTTTAAGGATATTGTGTATGTACCAGTCAGCATCCATTCTTAAATTTACCTTAACAAGCTCCGTGCGACTCTCCCAACTAATGCCTCCCCAAAGCATAATGGAGCCGCCACCAAAGCTAATGTATTGTAGGAGATTACATTCTGCGAACCGTTCCTCAGACCTTCTTTATACTCGACTACGTGCATCTGGCTTCCACAATTGTATTCTTGTTTCATCTGTAAAAAGTATTTTCCCCATTTTTATTCCTTTCAATCAGCATTGACTCTTTTGCAAAGTGTAACCGTCTGACTTTGTGACGGATTATATCGACCTCTTTCAGTCTTCTTAAAACGGCTTTGCACTTACGTTGACTTGTCTATCAATAGATAATTCATTTTTTAGACGCGAAGCGGTAAGTGAGCGATTTCGCAAGAATTTTATTCGCTAATA